CTTTGCAGCTCCAGCATAATCTACATGCGACACGGCATTTATCACTTTTCGACCGTCAGAGCGAGGAAGGAGGAAACGAAGGGGGAGAAATCCCGCGAGCGAAGCTGCGGAGAGCATAGGGAAGAGAGCTGTGTCACCGTATATTATACACTGGCTACACATGTACAGATATACATATATACCTCGGCGGAAGCCAAGGAAAACGTCTTTCGCGGCTTCTCTCGGAAAAGGGGAAAAGAGGCGGAAAGGGGGGGGGAGGAAGCAAAAGTCGCGCGTAGACGAAAGAGGGGGGAGAAGGAGAGAGAGCCCAAGAGTAAAAGGAGCGCAGAGAGAACGAGGAGCTGCAGGCCAGCATCTCCGGTGCATCCGCTGATATTACAGGTATATCCTGCAACGAGAGAAGCGAGGACGCGAAAATGCGGGAAATCGAATACCTATTATACGTATATGTATATACGGGGGTGTGGGGAGGACGGCTCCAAGCGGAAGGGAGACAAGTTCATTTTGACGACTCATCGTGTGCCAACAACTCACATAAGTATATGTATAATGCGGGAAACTCTTGGACTCTTGACTTGGTCACGATATATGGGAATTAATAAGAATTAAGAAGTGACGAAGAAAATTTTTTTAATTTCCACTCACCGATCGAGTACTTGGTTAACTAATTTAAACACAATAAATAACGTATACATCTTGTCACGAAAGTAAGCTCATCCCGAATGATTTCCAACACTTATTTATTGTACTTGTAGCAAGTGCGTGGTAATTTTCAAGTTTCAAGTGGATGTTCTCGTCCGAGGGAAAAGCTGCAGAATTTAAATATCTTCGCGTAACAAGAGCACCTGTATTATTGTTATCAAGTGCTAAACGGAGGTGTTGTTACAGCTGTGCCTAATAGAGTGTGTGGAATATATACTTGTAGGATATTTTTTCTTATCTACATATGTTACAATGTTCGTGTACGTGCCATGTACGCACGGAGAGGAAGAGGGAAACAAGAATTTTTTTACCATTGGCCGCAGATCACCGAGTCTTTGTTATTAAAAAATTTCAATTTGGCACAATTTAAGGGAGGTACTCTTGTGAAAAGAGTAATTTGTCTTTGTTAGTCGCTTCCTATTTTTTTTTTTTTTTTTTCTTTTCTTCCGGAGAGCCGTCCATTGTCGCCTAAAGAGATAACGCAGGATCTTCTAAAATGAGATTTAATGTTTCCGGCACTTTCATTTAAGAAAGGGAATTTTTCGTTTCGTACTTTTCCCTCCGAGCACCGCGGCTGTACGTTAAATCTGAAGCACACGAATGTAAGATTTTTTTTTGTTAATTTGTAAAAATTTTTACACGGGAAACCGCGAGAACAGCGAATTTCGTTTTAACAAGTAAGTGTAGAGTTGGTGCAAAAAAAGTCGTACCGTACTCCCCTGTGTTGGTGTGGTTATTGGCCTTTTGTAGCATGTACACCGGTAGCGAACAAAAAACATCGTCCAACTGTCAACGCTGCCCCCCCCTCCCCAACCACTAGAGGGATGTGACGTTCATTTTTTATTTGGGAACGTGGAAACTTTACGACCGAGCCAACCAAGTGTCGCTGAATCCATGGCGCATTAAGTAATGCCTTGCTCGACGATTCGCGCCAGCGATGGCCATTTTTTTTCCAATTAGCCGGCGGAATTTTAATTTTATCGCGCGACGACCGTTTTAATCAGTTCATTCATCAATTGGGGGAAGGAACGAGATTTTTTAATTATGCATGAGAAATTTTTTTTCTTTCCGTTTCAAGTTGGTGGGAAAATTTGTGGTTTATCATCGAAGCCACGTAATCCAACTGTATAGAGGTAAATTGAAACGTTAGATTTGTTTTTACGACGTATGAGTATAGATAATACTGACAATAGGTGTAGCTCGTGTGAAATTCGGGAGGAAACAATGGAGGTATGGAAGATGATGAAAAGAACGCAGGGGAAAAAAGAGGAGCTGAGTTGGTTGGCGGAGAGAGCGACGAAAACCAGATAAGAGTTTAATTTTTAGCCACCCATCTAGCTTCGCTCGCTCTCCTTGGGAGATTCGCGGATTCAGAGGTCCTTAAATTATTCAGGTTTTTGCCGCTCCGCATCTACGTGTACCTATCCCATGCACTTTTTTACTTTAGTCGTGTTTCGTGCTGATAAGAAGAAGAAAGAGGTCGCACTCACCTCACCACACATCATCTCACTCACACACGTACATGCACAGAGGTATGGAAGGATAGAAAGGTAGGTAAGTTTTAACTTTGCGAATCGAAAATTAAAAAAAGATGTTGAAGAGATTATTTACATTAAAAGCGATATTTAAAAAGGTAAAACCTACATTTAAAGATTGTTGAATAAAAAATACAAAAGGATTTTTTTGTTGTTACTTATGTCCTCTTGAACTTACGTTGCACCTATACTTTGAGAATCGATGGTGTCGCAACACCCTTACCGAAGGATACTTTTTTTCCAACGAGTACTTTTATACCAACGCAACACCCTTACCGAATGATACTTTTTTTACCATTTTCGTAAAATAGTAATAATGGCAACAATTATAATAATAATCACGACGATTGACACGTAATCTTAAAAAATCGATATATTTATTCAAATAGGCACAAGAAGCCAAGCGGACAGGGGTTTTAGCCGTGTTAAACATGTACGAAGGGATTTAACAATTATTTTCGGGTACTCGAGACCACGGAGAGGCTTACCGAGATTACACCCCGACAGAGCCGGATTAGCGACAAGGAAAGTTGGAGGCGAAGGGGGAGAGAAACGTGTACAGTGACTTTGATCTCGACAGACGCGCGATCGCTCGATTTGGGATTCATCGTCAGATTCTCGTTCACACGTAGCATTTACACGCGTTGCGACAAAAAATGGTGAATAAATACAGAATGATTAACAGATGTGACGAACAGTATACGTATGTATACACGTGAGCTAATTTGCTCCGCGGAAAATGGGCCCGTAGATAATGGAATTGATTAATCGACTCCTGTCTCTTGCCGCGAAACAATATATCTGATGAGCACGACGCGACAGCTCGTCGAGGAAGGAGCGAGCGTAACGAGCACTACACTATACCTACAGGTACGTACGAGATAGGTGTTATCGTTATCGATACCCTTATAGGCTATGTATGTGTGTGTGTACCCACTGTCTAATTACGGATACGGATGTGTCGCCCGTAGGTATTACCGGATGATGGATAACGTTTACTGTTCGGGGTATCGCCGCATGAGCGATTTCACGAAAGATTCAAGTTGGGACTGCTTCAACAAGTGGAAAATGTAGGCAGAACATTTTTTTGCAATGTTCACTTATACCTTAAAAACATACAACAAAATGTTGTGATTTTTTTTTCCAAATTTTTTACTCAAAAACTTTGAAATTAGTTTCAAAAATTTACTAATATTTTTTATTTACTTTAATCGCAAAATATACATTAAACTGTTTCTTTAAAACTGAAATTGGCAAATAAAACGAAAAATTTTCTCTGGGAACGTCGTAAGATACGTTTGAAACTGAAAAAAAGGTTTGAAATGGGGTTTATCATCCTTTCTCCAAAAGTTTTTTTGTGAAATGGCCCGGATCTATATCTAATTACTATTAAAAATTACCATTTATATTCAAAACACCTTTATTTTGCGGCTAAAGGAATTCATCAATCAGTAATTGTCATGTCGTTAACATACACGTGGAACGAAAATCAATTGACCGGTAAATCGAGGAAGGTTTGATTTTGACACATTGCGGCGATTAGCGTGCATCCGATGCATCAAACTAATCATCGAAGACGCATAGTACTCGATTCGATGAATACTAATGATTTTTTGCACACGATATTTCGGCAACTTGCGTAAAAAGTTTCAATTCAATTAGACGATCAAAACGAGACGAGAATGAAAGGAAAAAGATACGACGGCTCTTCGACCACAGTATAGTCACTTGCCAACGTAAACTCGAAACGTTCAACTACACTGATAAAGTAAAAAAAAAGAAAAAAAAAAAAATCGGCGCATCTCTGTGACAAACAAAAGCCAAAATCGAACGTGCCGTGGTACCCTCTCGTGACATGCATAGTTCCAACAATCGAACGAGCGTTTTAACGAGAAAAGTCAACGCGACGCGAAAGGGAAAAAGCAAATCCCGAGGGGGAAGAAATATATAACGAGTTCGCGGCAAGGCAAACGATTTTTTGGCACATACCCGCACACACACGCACGTATATATAACGCAAAAACCATCGGAGGATGTATGTATACACTGCACGTGTGTGTCCCGCACGAATCGTCAAATGTCGTTAGGAACGACGCACTACCGGAAAATTTGACGCTAACGAGGCGAGCATTTTTTCCGCGCCACCCCCATCGCCCCCTCCCACCTATACCGACACGTTCTATGTGATGAAAATTTTTCGTTTGGCCTCGTCTTCCACCCCCTCGGTCCACACCCGTATGTAGTTGCACGCGATGTGTGGGTACACACACGTCAATCGAATGGAAGACCCGCGCGCCGACGAAAATTTTCATTTGCGGTCGTCCGAGTCGTGCGGTTGCTTTTTTTTTAATTTTTTTTTTTTTTTTTTTTTTTTTGAGAACAAAGTGGATTTTTTATCGACGAAACGTCAATTCAGCGTGGATGTGCAATTTCGTGGTGTCTTTTGGTTACTGATTGGTTTTTTTTTTTTTTTCCCACTTGAGCGACCCTTGTCGATAAGTATATATGATTTAACTTGTTAGAGAACTGTGGATCATTGAATAAACAAATGCGTCACTTTAAAAATTTAGTCAAGTTTTTTGGCCAAGTATACACGTAACATTATTAGGTATACAAAACACAATACCTACTATAGCTCCGATCGATCATGTAAATTCAAAAATCCCGTCAAAATCCGCCGGTTCGACGTAAACTCCGGCAGAGGGAAGTGCAGTCGTGTTTTTGTAGTCTTTTCATCTTGTAGCGTACGGCAAGGTACGTTGTACGGCCGAATGAGCCTTTGATTATTTATTAAAAAAAACTCCATTTGGCTGTAATTTTAACTGTAAATATCGTTACCCACTGCATCATTGATCCTCGCTTTCCAATTGTCCGTGATTATTTTACTGATACATTGTTTTTTTACCATTGATTATCGCGGATACGAGTCCAGAGCAGCGTGTCACTGTCCCGTCGTCGCGAGCTATAGTGTGACAAAATATCAGTGATTGAATAAAAAGAAGTAAATTTTCGACTAATTTGACCTACACAATAGTTTAGTGCACGTTAATAGTTGCAGTTTCAACTTATCGTTAATTGTGTTGACGTAGATACATCGTGCCTCAACATGTTTTGTGTACCCTAACCTAAAAGCGCGGTGCTGCAGCTACCGAGTGGAGTTTCCGGGAAAAGTGGTGCTTCGGTTGATTTTAAAGTCGTGTTTTTTTACAGAAGCAAGATGACGGACCAGGCCGCTGAACAACAGCCTAAAAAGGCCGTGCCCAAGGACGCCAAAGCCGAAAAGACGGAAAAAACCGAAAAGACAAGCAAGCCCCTCAGGAAGAGGCATTTCAAGAGACACGGTCGTCTCTACGCCAAAGCCATTTTCACCGGCTACAAAAGAGGTCTTCGGAACCAGCACGAGCACACTGCTCTCCTGAAAGTCGAAGGAGCCAAATCAAAACTGGATTCTGACTTTTACATTGGCAAGCGATGTGTCTATGTTTACAAGGTTAGTTCTTTCTGGCAGATAGTGTTTACTACAAGTACCCTTAGAACTATGATACATTCCTCTATTTTACTGTATTTAGAAGGTATTTGGTCTAGTCTTGAGGGTACTCTTTGTCACTGCAATTTGGCTGCTAATTTCAGCTTCATTACTGAGAAATCACTTGAAAATACCATTCACCATTATCCTTCAACTTGTGAATCTGTTGTATATTATTTTGGTGTATGATGTTTTCACTTGGCTTTTGTAAATCTCATTCTAATTGTGTAGTATACAGCTTTCTATTACTACTTAATACGTGTTTCTTTGTACTATGATCCATCTGTCATCGAGATTTAGTGTTACTTGAAGTGATTTTATTCAAGTTACTTACATAATGATTAGAAAGAACAAGAAAAACTAATAGAAATACATAATATTACAGGCTAAAAATAAGACTCCAGTTCCCGGACAAAAAAAGAAGAAGACCAAGGTCAGGGCTATATGGGGAAAAGTCACACGTCCACATGGAACAAGTGGATCAGTCCGAGCCAAGTTTAAGAGGAATTTACCTGCAAAGGCAATGGGTCACAGAATAAGAATCGTAAGTATTTTTTGTTTTAACATCAAAACTTACTAAATTAAAATAAAAAGAAAAAAATTGATGTACGGATTTTTTCAAATTTTATTAACAGTTGACAATAGAATTTAAACTTGATGTAACCAAATACTATTCAATGTTTATTTTCATTTCAGATGTTGTACCCCAGCCGAATCTAATTATTTTTAATGAGAATGTTGATAATAAAAAAAACCTTTTTGGTACCAATTCCTGTGTAATTATTATACCTGCATTCGTACAGTAATGAACATAACGATTAATGCAAGATTCGTCAAGTTTATTTACCTATTAAAAGTAAATAAATAAATAGAATATAAACAAAATGGAATTATGTTTGTAATTTTTTTGCATCACTATTCTGAAATTTTTGATTCTACGATCGATTAAGAAATAAGAAAGTTGTCTTATCAACAGTCAATGTGAGTCCATGTCAAAAATTCTTTCTTATCGATTGGTCCATGACACATTCAAAGAAGCCATTCTTTCACCAACATATGCACTTTGCTGACACAGAGAGTTCCTACGCCCTAATGCCCTATGTCCTTTTGTATACTTACGTAAATATATAGTGCATATTCAGTTAATGATTAAAAATATATTTTTATTTTTTACGGGACAAAATAATAAGTGTTGATCAAGTAGTTTGTGGTACCATAATAGTTGAAAGTTACACGTATTTGACAGCCTAATCACAGAATCCATACAATTTCGGAGTGTGGTTATGATGAATCAAGAAGCAAGTGTCAAAACAACTCCATAACACAATGTTTACCTGCTTTAGTAATTGTTTCGATAAGTTAGGCATAATTAAAATTGAAAATGAGCCGCAAAATGAAGAAAACAGTATTGCTCTTGACATTAATTATGCAGGTGATGGTTATTTTGTTAAAAACGAGTAGTCCAGAAACATTTTTGTCAAATTTTTAAAATATTTAGGGTAATCAGTATTTTATATGAATTTTTTTTTTCTATCAATTTTAGGCCAAGAGGTTGTCATAGTGAAAAATCGCAGTAGAATCTGTGGACGTGGGGGAGTGTTAGGAAATGCACCTTTGGTACAAAGCAAAAGTTATTTCGAAGTGAAAATACAACAGGATGGCATTTGGGGGATTGGTATTGCCACCAAGCTAACAAATCTTAACACAGCTGTAGGTGGAACAGATAACGAGAGCTGGGCTCTTAATTCTGATGGTGTGATACGGCATAATAAACAAGAGTTGCATAAAATACAGAGTAAAGCACAAGAAGGAGATATTATTGTAAATTTAAATGCAATATATAATGCGTATGGCTGCATAAGCCTGTCATCTACAATACAAGATGATTTTTATGTCTTTTAGGGTGTTTCTTACAACCATGTGGAATTGAATTTCTATTTAAATGGAAAGTCTTTAGAAGTTCCGGTTATGGGAATCAAGGGTGCTACTTATCCTGTCCTTTATGGTAAAAGGTTTATAATCTATTAGATGACCTAATTTAAAAAATATTAATTTATGTTAATTTGTTACAGTTGATGATGGAGCTATTTTAGACTTTATTGTAGATAATTTCTTATTCAGTCCACCAATAGGCTTTGAAAACATAATGCTTGAGCAATCGTTACTTTAAAACAAATACTTTTATTTTCACATGCATTCCTTCCAATCATTGATACATTTACATTATGTGTCAAACATTCATTTATTTATTTATTTATTTGTATTTATCATATAATGAAGCACTTGAGATAGTGATCTCAATGATTGAACCATTAAATGTAACAAGAGCATTTATTAGTGAACGTACTGTTAAAGAACTTTTGCTTTCAATGTTGATTAATGCTTCAATTTTTTAATGACGAAAGTAAGTAAATTAAATGTATAAACATTCAAGTTTAGTTATCGTATTGTAATACTATAAGAAAATGTTGGTACAGAAAATACGTATATACATATGTATATTATATATTTATTGATACAACATATAACTCTGTTTAAATGTTATTAGCTATTTTTATTGTAATGATAAATGGATTTCAAAAACTTGACACGTACTTCAAAAACCAAACACGTGAGAATTCTCATGATTTATTAGAAGATTCACATAATATAAGGACAGCTTTTTAATAAGCTGCATTACAACTTTTTTATTTTTATAGTATTAATATACTGAAATCTTAAACACATTGGTGTGTATATTTTTTTTTATCGCTAATATTTTGATACTTGATACAATATTTACAGTGTTTTTTGCTTCATTAGGCATACGTCATGAATTCGTTGACAAATTTTAACTTACCAATATTCATTATCTAATGGACAGTAACATATTCTAAATTAGAGTATAACACCCTGTTGAAAACAAAATTTTTTATTTTATGAAATAATTTTTACTGGCGATTTTAAGAAATAAATAACTTGCTTTTCAAGTCCACTAAAAATCTCCCAACTTATTTATTAATAATTGATTCAAAAGTCGTGTTATGTCTTTGCGAATCTAAAATTCACTTATGGCACTGTTGTATTGTGAAAAATGCTCTAATATTCTCATGTATTTTCACTAGTGAATAAAATATTGCCAATTGCAAGACAAACTATACAAATTTTTAATCTTACTTTCTATGTCCTTAAGCAAACTGTGGTAACTTATGAAAATAAAAATAATAAATTCTATATAAAAATTGTAACAAATACATTGTAGTGTGATTGGATGTGCAGTTATTTCCACAACTTTTCCATAAACATAATGTTATCTTTGGTCCTTAGAATTAGTAGTATCCTTGAAATATAATAAAGATGTTACATATGTATGGTTATACACATTTTAGGCTTGATGAAGTAATTCTTTTTAATAACGTAATCTTTAAATACTTTTTGTATATTATAAGCTGTATTCCTAATATTAAAACTATTTTTTTATAAAAATGGCTATTATGAAAAAATTGTGGTTTTTCAACATAGGTAGCAGAAAAAATTTTAAAATAACGTAAATTAAAAAAAACCAACTTAAACATTGACTTAAACAATAGTTACAAATAATTCAACCTTAATTCACCATTTTTTCAAACTAAAAAAATTAGATCAAACTTTAATGGAAATCATTTACAAAGTTAATTTTTTTATAACTACTTTTACGTTGGATTTCACGTGTGTGAAACATCTCCTATGGTAACCTACATTAATATTATTGCACGCATCAAGTGAGTATTCTTTACTTTATATTTATAAGTGATAGTACAACTTTGATTTTAATTTTTTTCGTAAAACAGTACCTGTTATGTATGAGAACGATTTTTTTAAACACATTTTTAATAATTATGTAGCAAAAACTTTACAAAAATTTTATTAGTTTGTACAGTGTAGTAAGACAATATTGAAAAACATTTTTAGCTGAAATGTTATCAAACCATTCATAGTTAACTTTCGATAATTACGAATAATAAAAATTTGGCTTATAAAAAATTACTTTCAGTTTCAATAAAATTTCAAAAATCGATAAATTACATACAAAATTTAATTATAACGATTAATTTATATTAATGTCGTTCGAATTAGTAACAACTTAAATACGTTTAATCTAAGCTACTCGCTCGTAGTTAAATTTTATGTAAAAATAAACATTAAAAAGTTTGGTAAGAAAAAAAAACAGACACATTAAACGGATTATTAAATTTAAAAACCTACAACTACATAATCTTACGCTAAATATATGTTCACAGTCCAGAGATCTTTATGGCCCTATCATCAATACGACTGATAAAATCGACTTTGTTCGCGACTTTTAGTAAATTGTAGTATACACAGACAGAAGAAATATCAAAACTCTGTATTCCCTTGTAGACGTAATAATTTTTCTTTTTGACGTTAAAACTTGAGTTGGAAGAGCGGAATCAATATGTAACGTTTGTGTACATTGATATTGAGTTACTTTTGCTGATACCCCCTGATAGTAAGATTTTTTTTAGTGGTAAAATATCTTAAAATAGTTTATGAATATCACAATTGTTCAATATCTCACGTTTCATTTGCACTATCACACATATACATTTTGATAACAATAATATTTAACATGTCTAAAATCAGTTTCTAACAACTACTAAGATAAAGATTTCATTTTTATAAAAAATTTAGGTTATCTAGTTTTGAGATTACAAATAAATTAATGGCACTAATAAATACTAAATTTGTCATGGCAGTTACTTGTACTTGTTTAATCGAGAGCAAAAGGTAAGACTTAATGTATAAAGCGCGGAGTTTTCTTACAAAACGTTGAAATGACGAATTGATAATTCACACAGTGCATACTTTTTTTATGAATTTAAAATTCATTAGTAACGTGGCATTATAAAAAAAAAACCACATGTGCGTACAAATGGAAGAACTCTGATAAAAAGACGTCTTGAAAGTCCATGCGATAAAAGTACATAAAATGTTGTTTAATATGTATAGGACGATGTGTGTCGTATGTAACAGTCGCAAAATAAGTATCGAAGATGGGGCCTACGCTTTAATATAATAATTTTTCTTTGGTGTCGTCCAAAAAAGCTTTCATAAAACTTTTGGTGATTTTTATCGCAGTATCATTGAAATTGTCTACTGCATGGAAACGTTATATTTACACGATTTTTTTCTAAAAACGCATTAATCCACGAGACAAATCCTCGTGAGAATACTAACTTTGTCAAAAATCACCACGCAAATTTTAAATATTTCATGGCCTACTGCAATAGGCAGATGAGCAAGCAAAAACTACAATCTAAACTAAAAAATCTTAACATGAATGAAACATATTTTGCCATTGCCTTGAGAGGAAAACTTTCACATATTGTGTTCGACTTTAGTACTGTACACAGAAACGCAGTTTTAGTCAAAGTCCGTAGTATCCTCGACCGCCGAGTCCCAATTAAACTCGGTGGCACTCTGTCTCGAGGGTAACTCGCCAAGGTGCTTGAAACGTTGAACAAAGTACGGGTCACGATCCCGTAGTCGGCGGAACCTCTGAAACGCAAGATCCGTCGCAAAGCGGTACAGTTCAAGGTCCAGCTTATTAAGCCGCTGAACGGCCTCTAGCTGTCCCGGAGTAAGAGTTGCCATAGTTGCAGCACTTAGTGTTGCATTGTGCTGCTCAAACGCGACAGCAAATCTCAGTTTGAACGTTTCCTCAAAGGAGTATTGCCCTACCTAAAAATAATTGTTTTGTTGCTCCATCAACCATTAATCATTAAAATATACATCTACTTCAAGAGCGGTGCAGCCTTGGAATGTGAGGGGGGATTAACATTCAATCGCAGAACATCGTGTTTTGAAAGTCTTTAGACATTATCTTCTCGAATAATTCATGCATTATTGTTGTAAACGTTGTTTCACCACATACAAAATTTATTTATTTTTTTTAATTTTTTTTTTCTTCAAAACCAACTTATCAACTTTATTTAGTGTGCATTCAATCTTGAAAAGAGGAATGAAATGTTTAAGTCACAGTGCTAGGGTAAACGTGCCTAAGCTAGGAGGTAGGGATGGGGAAGAGACGCAGGGTTTCAAGATAAATATACAATTGAGGGGGAGAACGTATAAGAAAAATAGCAGAAGGTGTGCAGATGGTGCTTGCGAGTTATATCAATATTTATGTTAAAAGACGAGCTTAAAATACAGTTACAAACTTCCTTTATACGAGATAAAGGAAAGATAAATATTTAATGATGGGTGACATAAAAATGTGGTGGAGATGGAAATTTATAACATAAATAAAATACTAACCTTTTGATATTCTGTGAGCATAAAAAATGGCATGTATTTCAAATTGCGCTTGGCACTCGCTAGCATTAACCGATCTCGTTCTTCAGGGCTCAGCGAGGAATTGTAACAGCCAATGAGAGATAGATCCGCTAACATTCTCGTTTGCCTGTTGTTTGCTAGGTTGTAAGGGCAGGCCATGAACTGAAATGTCATAGAGTTCAAGTTATATTCTCCATAATTGCAAGCAAATACTTAAAGAAATATGAAACTTACCTCTTCTAAGGACACTCCTTGCCAGTTAATACCTGGATAACATTGGGGTATATTAGCTTGAGTTCCACCGCACCAATGTCGAGCACCTTTCCACGTAGCACCCCTCTGTACATGCCTGAACTCGGACAGATATCTTGCAACCGGATCTCGGATGATCGTTATATAAAAATATCTTCGCTTGAAATTATTCCCTTCGATTTTGTTAAGCTCGGTATCAACACAGCTCGTCAATTCAGTCCAATCGGCATGTAAACCGCACTTCCACCCAGTGGAGTAGCGCGAAAATAGCCAATTTTCCTTGCGATATGGACGGTGACAGAAGCAACGCTTGCGCCGCCTCTGACATGTGCATGGCTTTGTCAGATCAAGATCACGAACTAAATGTTTACCAAATAAGGTACCCCCTGTAAGGAAAGAAAATCAGATGCATGATAATTACCATACTACATACAGCGATTTCATACAATTTTAGAATTAAAAAATTTTCGACTTAAATATTGAGGCTTCATTCTATAAATATTTGCATACGCAAATAAGCTTGAATGTGTTTAAGAACAATAAAAATTATTTATAGTATGCAAAGTATTTGAGAGTAGCCAATGAATTATGCAAGAGGACAATGCAATGCTGTTAAAACAGAAAAAGCAGTGCCTTAAACTAAATAAAAATTCACATATTTTCATTCGAAATTTATGTGTTGATAAATGTATTCACTTTTAACGAAATTAAAAAATTTAATACTCAAACGGTAAAATTGCTCTTACCAGTCTTTTGGATGTGCAAGAAAACTATTACATCATGTGCACTGATATTAAACTGAAGGGTATCATTGAGAAAGAAGTCGTCATAGCCAAGGCTTCCTGGAATACTCTGCAGTTTAAATGCTGGATGCACAGGCACAAAATTGTTCTTCTCCAATTCCAGTGAATTAGATCTCAGTCCCAAAGTGTTACCTAAACAGAACAAAAGAAACACCTTTAGAGAGACAATCAACGGGATATGAAATTAACGTATTCTCTCAGTTATCAACAAGCATTAACGTAAAAATATACTAATATATATGTAGTGTTTCTGCAACTTTTGATATTTAAATGATTTTCTGATTTGCACGTTTATTCTACATCGTACTTAATGAACTGAAAAAGCGTTATTGAATTATGAGGTCAAAGCTCATGAATAAGTATACTTAGTAATGTATAAAACAATTGACGCGTGTGACGTGACTCTCGTACCAAAGCTTCCCTCGTATAGGTATGTATGTACAACCTACATTTCCTTTTGTGAAAATGTAAAGTCGAGAGAGAGAGAGAGAGAGAACTACCTCATGCAGTACCTACTATCTCATAAATTATAAGTAAATATACCCTATCTCAGAGTAAAGTGCGTAAGTAATAATAAAGCATCAGCAACAGCTCGGCGGTGCAGCACAACAATCATATCAACAGTTCTCTCCAAAAGAGATGGTATACGAGTACTTGCTCTGCATGCTTCCCCCCCGCAGGGACGAATAATAATAAGCACGAGTACGAAAATAAGACGACGAAGAGGATGGGAAGACGAAGGGTAGACATCAGAACAAGAAGAAAAGTGAAACGCGCGGCTCGCGCGCTTATAAAAGTAAGTGCTTAATTAAAAAAAACTTTGCAAGACAGTATAATTGTATAGCTACAGCACATGAGAATTGAAAAGTACATATGATAGGATTTATAGCGTGTCACAGGCTTCATTTTCTAGAGTCCTCGTGATACCAACCCGAAAGTAAGGGTTCGGTTATCCTGGCGGTCTCCTTGAGATCGCGGCTGGTCAGGGCGCAGACGTGCTCCGGACAGAAGTAGCCGAGGTAGAGCATGCCCGCGAGGGCGAGCAGCAGACAGACGCCGACGACGCGCAGCCTGGCCCTACGAGGCGCTGATCCACCGCGTCCGGACGACTCGCCGCCACCGGCGCCTCCACCAGTGACCATCGAACCCTCGGCCACGAGCAGCAGGGCCAATTCGCTCCTCGTCGCCGCGGTTATGAGCTTCTTCATCCTTTCCCCATGACCTCCTCGGCCACTCAGCTGCTTCGTCGCCACTTCGGCAATACCTGCACGGGACGATTCATAGCCGAGCTACGGAGAGGGAGAGCAAAAGGAGACTCCGAGCTCGACCACCTAGACCCGCTGCAACTCCACGAGTTTTGCGGGCATCGGCCATCGCAGCTTTGTTTGCGGTGTACAGTACTTGCAGAATTTACAGTCTTTGGACTCGTGGAGTTGGTGTTGTATTGTCCTCTATCGCCCCGAGTCCGTAACGTACCCAACTCCGTACGAGTGTCCACAATCAGCGAATATTTACGAGCGAATGACACACCACGCACACACAAACAAGATACACCAGCTCCAACGAGCAAGACCTGACTGAGGTCTTTTCGCTTTTGCTCCGCTCTGTGAGTGCAGAGAACGAGAAGTGATGCAGAGAGTGCAAGAATAACGGGGAGAGTGGTGGTGGAGGAGTCAGCGTGGAGAACTGGAGGAGAGAGAGAGAGACGCGCGCTATATCCGCAGCTAGAGGGTACGTGAGTATATACAGGTATATAAACTGTTGTGTAAGCTTAGATCCATTCCATTCCAAAGATGTTTTCTCTCGCTCCCCTTGAGCGCGTGTGTGTGGGTGTGTATATACATAGGTATATTGTTCTCTTCCCTCCACCCCCCCTTCAACGCCTATATAATGTGTATATATATATACTCCCTCTGTCTCTTCAAGCTCATATCTTCGGTCTGTCTGCTTGCAGTGCACCCCCCCCCCCCCGGTAATACCTACACAATTTTTGCTCTCTGCAGCTTTTGCGAGAGATTTTTGCAAGCTCGCGACTTTTGAAAATTTTCTCGGTTGTACACCTTAAAAACTGCTGGACGGTTTCTTAGTTTTTGATTTTTTACCTTTTTTTTTTGCTCCGATCGAGACGTTAGCAGGAAACTTATTTATATAATTACTTACCTATAATGATCATTGTCTGCGTCAAAGTTGAATTAACTCAAACGGCAGTTTGAAGCGTTGTACGTAAGTACATTATAAGGTTGGTGCAAATCGGTGATGCTAAACTTTCTCCCTTTTCGAAAAAGCATAGTTTTATTGTTTGCTGCTATCGTCTTGTTCATTCAGCTATACACAACAGGAGCAGCAGACGGTCTTATTGATTGGCTCATCTTCGATTTATACCCCATTGTTTTCAATATTCCGTTGTACTCGATGAAAAATTGCAGAGTATTATGATATATAAGTAAACGTGGTATCGAAAACAGATTTATTCAACAAGACGACTGTGGGAGATAAAAATAAAACACACGAAGGATCGATCGGTCGAGCGCGAAATCGGCTACTTATGAACAGTAAAACGATTCGAAACATGGAATTGAAAAAAAAAAAAAAAAAAAAATTTCCACATGAGATGTACGTATAAATTAACTTGTTTTAAACATGTAAGTAATAGATTTTCTGGGAACCGATCATTATTTTGTCCGACATGTTCCAAATCGGTTTCTACAAACCCATTGCTCCCAGCCGCGCTTTTCTTTTTTCGCCTCGGAGCGCGGCATATCGTCACCAATTATATACTTTGCGCGCTCGTATACAATTGACCGATTGAAGCGTATCAAGCTATTAGTATAAGTAAATATGGTTGGTTGTTATTGCCTCGAAACCCAGTCAAGATGTAAGTACACTTTTATCGGAAGGCAAACGAATGTGCACAGCTTGAGCTAAAAAAAAAAAAAAGCAAAAAGAAAAAATATACCAAGCAACACATTTACATCAGCGTCTTCGAAAATTCAAAAGAAAAGTATAGGTAGTTGATTAAATTATTTTACAGCATGTCTTCGCATGTATCGGATATGATGCGACGAGCGTCGCAAAAAAAAAAAAAAGAAAAAAAAAAAATACTCTCGAGAGATGAATAGTGTACATACTATATATACTATGGTATAAAGAAAGAGTCATATCAACACCACGAGAGTATTGAGTATACGTGGGATATAAAATATTTTTCTTCCTCTTTCTTTATCTCTCTGATTCTCTGTTTACTCTCAACCGCCCATGCATGCGTATATCAAAGGAGTCGTGTAGAGTATCACAGTACATGCATGTTTTGGGGGGGATCGTATATATGCATACTTTATATATATATGTATAAAAAGCAGTTACTTGAGTAAACATATAAATTACCGAAGCATGTATATATTTATGCAAGTTAAGCGGAAGAGGAATATAGTGAGTATATTGGAGAATAGAACGGAGCTTGAGCTCCTTTACTCGCCTGCGAGCTTAAATTAATGTTATTGTAAGATCCGCGGGCAGACTTTTTAGCTCTTTTAGCTCTCGTCTATACGTGCACCCCATAATTCTTTCTCTCCCGGTGGGCGCTTTGTTTATACTTACATATTATTTTTACCCTCCGGGTGCCATACGTATACGTATACGTTTCCCTCGTATTTGCGTACACGTGTATACGTATATATGTATCTGGTCATACTTTTTTAGCACTGCTTTGTGTGTGTGTGTGCGTGTGTGCGTATGTTCGCGGTTCCCGTGAAATCGGTGCAGCCCCCTCCGGAAAGGAAAGGAAGAAGAAGAAAAAGAAGGAAATGGGATAGGGTTTATATATATATATATGTGTGTGCTTGCACGTATATGCAAGTATAGGTGGTGTACATATACATGGAAAGGGAAAGAGCCTCTCGAGTTGGGTGTTCTATCTCCGAGGCTCAAAGGGAAGTACTACTATATGGTAGTATACCCACTTATGCATGGAGTAGTCCGCACATTGTCGCAAAAAACACATTATTTCCATGAGGTTTTGACAAAAAAATGTAGGGAGAAATTTTTTTTGAGCGAAAAATTGTTTCTCCTGCAACTCGGATCGATTTGTTGTTTTGGGCACTGATTTGTTCAAGATGCCTGCGGGAGTGAATAGAGGGGAGGGCTACGGATGCCGAAAATCTGGAAACCATTACAACGACTACATAAATATGTATACATATACACTTACGCATTTATGCCTATTTCATCTTTACTAAATTGTAATATGTTGTGCACCTGCACAAGGAAAAACTTAAACTTTTGTGCTTCCGTACCCGTGCACATGCAGATCTACTCCCATATTCACTTATACGTTGTATTTTTCTTGATCTTTTGGGGCAAATAACAAAACTCTTGGTTTTTCTTTTAGCGACGTTTCGTCGACTGGAGTGTCGACCTCTTCGGGCTTTATTAACAATAATAATACATTTTACAATGACTAATGAATATGGATACATATAGTGTAAAAATAACAAACGGAATACCTTATTGAAAACCGTGAAGGAAACTTTAACGTGTCGAGCAAATAACTCACACGCGAGTCAAAATGGCAAAGGCGCCCACATTATAATGACCATCGCTTTTATAGCCAGGCACNAAAAGCGATGGTCATTATAATGTGGGCGCCTTTGCCATTTTGACTCGCGTGTGAGTTATTTGCTCGACACGTTAAAGTTTCCTTCACGGTTTTCAATAAAGTATTCCGTCTATTATTTTTACACTATATGTATCCATATTCATTAGCCATTGTAAAATTTATTATTATTGTTAATAAAGCCTGATGAGGTCGACACTCCAGTCGACGAAACGTCGCTAAAAGAAAAACCAAGAGTTTTGTTATTTGCCCCAAAAGATCAAGAAAAATACAACATATAATTATAACATGGAGGGCGAGAAATATTCAACATCTACTCCCATATTTTATAATACATACTATAAGCAGGGTGCACAATCAAAACAGGAACTTAAATCAGCCTCGTATGTTTTTTATCAAGCTTTTTTTATCTTTATTGGGTTTAATGGAAAAAAAAAAAAAAAACAGCTGAAAACGAATACTGAAAACAAAATAGGTATACAAATATTTTGAAGATCACATTCTGTACGATCGGGTAAACAGATTGATTTACACCTATATATGAGTTATGATTTTCCATTTCTTCATTGTTAGTTTGAATACTTTTGATTATTGACACATGATGTCGAGTGATATTTAAATACAGTAAAACGTACTACACTAATTTGAATATGAGTTTTTGCATAAGTGTTTAAGAACAATAATAATGTCTTTAAACTTTTTAGTGTGTTTCGTATCGCCAACACTTGCTAGACACATTTACCTTTTGCGTGACATTTAAATTTTGCCGCTTCAGACTTGATCGAACCGACTTGTGCTTTTCTGCTCCGCGTGTTCTTGGCATATACCTATATGTATGTTGTGTGTGAATCAGTGTGTTCAACAACAATGGATCTGTCAAAGTTTGATCTTTGATTGATAGTTGATACCAATAAGTAGATATGTGTTTATTTTTTTTAACGAAAACAAATAAATACTTGAAAGATTGTTGTGGTAATAGTTGAAAAGAATAAAGTAGAAGCAGTCGTGCTAAAAAGTCGTGCTTCGTCGAGGCTTCTTTTGAGAAATCAATCTATTCAAGTGAAAAGTTAAAAGCATCAAAGATGAGGTGAGTAGCGTATTTATACGTAGGCAAATTTTTCCTTTTCAAGCACCAAATAATGTGAATTTAACACTCATTAATTTTATCAACTCTCATAACCTATAACACATTCAAATATGCAACTGACTGCAATTTAATATTAATTACAGTGAAGTTACTGAAACAACGGAAAGTACAGAAATACCAGAAACTACTGAGGAAATTTTAGAGAAGAGGATTGCTGAATTGGAGAAAAAAATATTTGGTTTGGAGGGAAAGCCAAGCGATGAAAGTTTGATGCCAGAATCCACCATCATTGAAAGTATGGAGCAAGCACAAACTATGATTTCATCAGCACTTTCTGGCAGAGAAAAATTAAGCGCACTAATGGAAAGGCTACCTGAGTTGGAAGAGTATGAAAATGCAGTTTTGGAGCCTACGGATCCACAGATTGATGTTAAACTTGAGTATATTTTAGCCATGGAATCAGAAATCAGACAGTATGTCGAGAACTTGAAGACAATAAAAGAATTGATGCCAGTGTTGGATAGCAATCGGTTCGATAATTTGCCCGAAATGGCAGAAAAGTTGACTAATTTATCTTTGCAACATATAGAATTGGGGGACCAAGTAAACACAGTAGATTCAGCTACAAAAGAACTGATGACTAGGTATAATAATATCATTACAAATATATCTCAAACTTTGATTGCCTTGGACACAGAAATAACCAAGTTGGAAAAGGAGAAGGAGCCAAAAAAAGTGATTGATTGAACAATTTATTTACTTTTATTCATAAGAATAATATATTTAAACAACATTTTTAGTAAATGTCTTGGAAGTACGGACAATTACATGTCTTATTATTCTTATCTTATTCGTTAAGATACTTTTATTCCTATAAATGACTATACACATGCAATATTTTATAATTTTCATTTTTCAATATTATAAACTTTATAACAATATCTTAAATAACTATTGATTTATATACATATTCATTTTCACTGTTTCATTGCTTTTTATCTGAAAAAACAAAAAAAAAAAATACTCTCGAGAGATGAATAGTGTATAAATTCTTTCTTTAAATATACACTAATTTAACATAATTTTTTTTTTCTTAAATCTATAGTATAACTGTAAAAAATTATTATAACATAAAGGATTTAATTCTTAAAACTATAAATATTTTTTATACAGTATTTACATTAGTTTGTGAAAGTATACATTTTTACGTGTGCCTGTAAAGTATTTACCTCAAATAATTCATAAGGTTTCACGTTTCAATATTTGTGTGTATGCTAAACTTCAAAAGTATTGTTTACCGTTTGGCACTCGTGAATTTAAATATTTTAAGCCCTACAGGGGAAATACTTAATTGCTAAATTTTGATTGTCTCATTGAGAATTGGAAAAAAAAAGATTATCATTTCATGATTTCGTTTGTAAAGCTGGTACAGAATTTCTCAGCCACGAAAGGGCTGGTGCCAAACTCGAATATATCGCAGGATGACCCTTTGAGCATCTGCTGTGATGGCTAAGCAAGCCCTGAATCTCCCATCGCCCGGTTTCGCTGACACACATCAGTGGCGCTCCTTCGTCATTCTGAAAACGAAAATAAATTTTACAACGAGCTCTTTTCTTTCAATTGACAATTAAATTTAAAAAAATGGAATCTTGGTAGTTACATAGCAAGGCCCTTTGTCCGTATCGGTGAATCCAGCGCAAATGTTGTGCTTAGTTATGTAGCCCGCGTAGTGGCTCGTTGCGTTACACTCGTCGGAATCGTAAATCGGCACGGGCAAGAACTTCAAATATTGTTGCAAATCCACTTCTCCGTTAACGGGGAATCCCCAACCGGCCGTGACGCACAGCTGTCGCGGCTGTAAGACACGTCGAGATTCCATGAGATGTAATTTCAACCATAACAATTGCCCATTCACAATAGTCCTCCGAGATACTCGGAATAGCTTACCTGGAACGATTGACTTGGAAGACACACGGCACTGACGTTTCTCGAGAACACTAGAGGCTCGGTCAGCTCAACAAGTGCGATGTCGTTGTTGTACAAAAATTGATTGTATTTAACTTGCGGGTAGGGCACGATGGTCCTAACTTTGTATGGCTTCAACATGTTGCCTCCCACAAACAACGACCAATCGTTACTCTGTCTGTGACTGAAAATACGTACGATGCAAATCGTGAGACATCCCACTTTTTTCGGTGAAACGATGAGTGGTGCAGGGTATATGGTACATACCTGTGAATACACGAGTAACTGGCCAGTGCAAACATCGGACTGAGAACGCTCGCCGTGCAGGCGGCCCCGTACTTGGACTCCTTGAGCAGAGCTACGCTGGACCACTGTCCTTCGCTGGCCGACGTGCCACCCACCAATCTCGCGGTGGGACCATTGTTCTCGTGGGATCCGCAGGAGAACTCCTGACACGATATTTCCACAATCTTCCTCGACTCGCACGACTCGGCTCTCTCCAAATTAACGACCAGAGACGAGTTGAGGCTCGCACTGGAAATCAATCGTAGCAAACTTTTATCGTCCTCGTGATCGGCGAACTGCGTCACTTCCGATCCCGCAAATCCTAAAGATCTGCAGTACTGTTGACTGTGCTCTTGCGACCAGCCGTCGGAACAAACGTGTTGGAACTCTCCGTTTCGTCGTCTGGAAGGAGAAATAATGGATTGTACATATTTTCACTTGGAAACAGATGAATAACAAACAAAATTGCATACCTTATTTTCAGGGGACTGATCCGCGTTGAGAACTCATTGTCCTTGTTGTCTCTGTCGGGATCGGAACTGGACGACGAGTTTTTACTGAAACTACCGACGCAGTCCCACTCGTCCGACCTGTCCGGGCAGTGTTCGACTCCGTCGCACAATTGCTCGGCGGGAATACAACCTCCGGTGTCGCATTTGAACTGATCGAGGGCACAATCGCACAACTTTTCGTCCTCCCCGTTGACGCACTCTGGCACTCCGTTGCACCTCCACGTTTGAGGTATGCACCACTTTTCGGTCGGGCAGAGGTATTCGTCGTTGCCGCAGCTATCGGAGCACGAATACTCGTCCGTGTGGTTTTCACAGTCGGGACGACCGTCGCACTGCCACACTACTGGTATGCACCTCTCTGTCAAAGCAAAAGGTATTTGTGAGACTTTCAGTTATGTCTTTACGGTTATACCAAAAGGAAAAGAGAAAAAAAAAAAAAATTTACCATTGGGGCATTTGAATTCATCGAATTCGCAAGTCCACTTTTGACAGTCCTTTTCGTCGCTTCCGTCGGCGCAGTCCACGATACCATTGCAAACGAGGTGTCGTTTCAAGCACTGGCCACTGGCGCACTGGAAGTTGCCTGGGCAGCCTTCTTCTTGGCAATTGGTTTCGTCCGATCCGTCGGAGCAGTCGTTCTCCGAGTCACATTTGGCAGAAAGACTGACGCAGTAAGCTCCGTCTCTCGAGGTCCCGTTGACGCATTGGAACTGACCGCTCTTGCATTTGGAGAATAAAACTGGCGATGGCTCTTCTTTGGATGTTGAAACTGACACCGGAGAATCCGAGTTGACTTTATCTTCGGGTTCTTTCGTGTCATTCGCTGTGGCCATGCTCGTTGGGGAAGTTGACGTGGTAGTTTCTGAAGTATCGGTTACCTTATTTGGCACTATCGAATTTTTCAGTTCACTCTCGTTCTTTGCGGTCTTTGGTGAATCATTAGTTGTCACATTGTCGTTGTTAAACATCATGGTTGGAGGATCAGTGAAGAAATTGATACTTTCATCTATATTCTCCGAAACTGGAATTATATTTGGATACTTGGCGGTGCTGTTTTCGTTTTGGGTATCGGCGTCGTGATTATAGGTGACAGTGTTTGTCAAGTTTGAGTTTTTTGAAGCGTCCAACACCGAAGTGCCTGAAATCAGTTTTGGTATATTGTCATCGTCAATGTTTCTACTGCTTTTTGTGACTGCACGATGCGCGTTTGATGGACTTTCGGCATTTTCGTCTGATATTTTTAGATCGAGTTCTTTCTCTGTTTCCAGATTTGCTTGCTGCTCATCGGACTTCATGCCATTTCCAAATTTATCTTTCTCCTCCAAGGATATGACACGTAGCTGTTCGTCCGATAGTTCTTCGAATTCTGTTGTTGATACGGGCTTTTCCGTAGAAGTGGTGAAAAGGTAGTGATAACCAACTGTTTGTGGCATGAGGTCGTCCGCTATTGATTCTGAAACCGGTTTAATACTATTTTCTGCTACAGATTCAGTTGTTTCGTTAAACATGTCATAATTGGATGTGGTTTTGGATAAAATTTCCTCAACAAAATTGTCTGTGGTCGTCATTTCAATTTCGCCATCACTTGAAACGGTGGTTTTTATCATGTCCTTTGATTTTTTGCTACCATCATTTTTTTCTTCGTTGTCACTCGGCGACTTGTCAATCTTTTCTTCGGACGCGTACGCTACTGTTGATTCCGTATGTTCTTGTTTGTTAACGTCTGTCGTTATCATCTCTTCTGGCAATACGGGGATTTGTTCTGTTGTTTTTGGTAAAATTGTTGTTGAAACAGTTTCTTTTTCTGGTTCTGGAGATGTCGTTGTTTGAACGTCGGATCTTTCGATAGTTTCAGTCGTTGACATTTCCATCTGAATTTCAATGGGCAAAATAGGAATTTGAGAAGTCATGCTGGAATCTTCCAAGGGTTTGATAAAACCCTTTTCTACTGAAAGTGGTGTCGTATATCCAGGTGCTGACTTATTGTATTTCACATCGTTTTTCAAAATAATAAAATCAACATTTTTATCTTTATAAACTTTATGACTCTTCTTTTCGTCTTTCTTTAGAATCCGGGACGTGTCTATATCATTCTTTTCAAATTCTTTGGGAACTGATTCATCATTTATATCGTTGTATTGGTCCTCAGTAGCTTCCTCATTTGTCTTGTTAATCCCTTTTATTTTTATTTTATTACCAACCGATCCGTCTATTTTATCTTTTTTAGTTAAAGTTACAACATCTTTCACATTAAATTCAAAAGGATTAGGATTTTCTCGCTCATCTTTGTCAAGACGAGGAGCTTTTTTTATATATATTATGCTAGATTCAGAATCGTTTTTCTGTGTTACTAAAGAATGTGGTTTAACTGCCATTTTTGAAAGTGTTTCTATCCCTGCGTTATGTTCAGAAAGTGTTTTATTTTCATGGCTCTCGTTTTGATTAACGAGCCCTATAACTGGTTCATTATTTGATATTGTGGAAAATTCAAATTCATTAAAGTGAATCGATTTATCATTTTTCAAATCGATTTTCGACAAAGTTTCAATAATAGGTTTCTGAGTGATTAATGTGTTTACGTGATCTGTATTGTTGAGTAAATTCTTGGAATTTAATGATCTATTTCTTGATTCTATGACTTGAGGGGTTTCAGGATTTTTTTTCGATGTTTCGGCAATGATAGATTCAGTCTTCAGATCATTAACGTCGGTGTTTTCCGTGGATGATTCAACATCAGGTTCAAATTGAGAGGTGGAGTCTTCAATTTTAGTGTCAACAACTGATATTGGCTCACTTTTTGGCTTAGCAATAGGCTCAGTGCTTTTTGGTTCGGCATAAGGCTCCGATGTAGGCTGCGCAAAAGGCGTCGACGAAGGCTGGGCAATAAGCTCCGATTTGGGGTCCATGGAAGGCTCCGATGGTGGTTCCGCAGAAGGTTCTGATGTCGGCTCTGCAGAAGGCTCCGGTATAGACTCTACAGAAGGCTTCGATGTAGGCTCTGCAGAAGGTTTTGATGTAGGTTCTACGGAGGGCTCAGACGCGGACTCTACAGAAGGCCCCGATATAGGCTCCACAGTAGGTTTCGACATAGGCTCCACAGACAGTTTTGATGCAAGTTCCACAGAAGGTTCTGATGTGGGCTCTGCAAGAGGTTTCGGTGTAGGCTCTGCAGAAGGTTCCGATGTAGGTTCCGCAGAAGGTTCTGGTGTAGGCTCTGCAGAAGGCTGGGGTCGTAGTTCCGCAGAAGGTTCCGATTTAGGTTCCGCAGAAGGTTTCGATGTGGGCTCTGCAGAAGGCTGGGGTCGTAGTTCCGCAGAAGGTTCCGATTTAGGTTCCGCAGAAGGTTTCGATGTGGGCTCCGCTAAAGACTTCGGTGTAGGTTCTACAGAAGGTTCCGATGATGGTTCTGCTAAAGGCTTCGATATAGGCTCTACAGAAGGTTCTGATGTGGGCTCCACTAAAGACTTCGGTGTAGGCTCTACAGAAGGTTCCGATGATGGTTCTGCTAAAGGCTTCGATATAGGCTCTACAGAAGGTTCTGATGTGGGCTCTGCAGAAGGCTCCAATATAGGCTCCACAGAAGGCTTTGATGGCGGTTCGGCAGAAGGTTCTGATGTGGACTCTGCAGAAGGCTCTACAGAAGACTTCGATGGTGATTCTGCAGATGGCTCCGATATTGGTTCCACAGAAGGCTCTAATTCAGGTTCTAAAGAAGGTTTCGAAGTGGGCTCTGCAGATGGCTCTGAAATAGGCTCCACGGGAGGCTTCGATGGTGGTTCTGCAGAAGGCTCCGATATTGGCTCCATGGAAGGCTTAGATGGTGGTTCTGCAGAAGGCTCCGATATTGGCTCCATAGAAGGCTTAGATGGTGGTTCTGCAGAAGGCTCCGATATTGGCTCCACAGAAGGCTTTGATGGTGGTTCTGCAGAAGTCTCCGCTATTGGTTCCACGGAAGGTTTCGATGGTGGTTCTGTAGAAGGCTCTAAAGGAAGTTTCGATGTAGGTTCTGATGCTGGCTCCGCAGTTGCCACCTCTACTTTTGGTGTCCTTTCTGGTTCAGCTGAACTTTTGAATCCGTTCATCGAATGTGATGTAGCCTTTTTATCAAAATGTTTATCAAAATAAGTATTTTTCCAATCATCTTCGTGATCATTGAAAATGTCATCGGGCGTTCTGCTTCTTCCTTGAACATTATCCGAAAAACTACCTTGAAAATCTATACTTCTCAGGTCATCATAACTAACGCATTTTTTGCCATCTTCGTGTAACGATTTGCCTGCAGGACACACACAAGTAAACCTTGCTTCAGTGTAATCGTACGTACAATTATAACTACATCCTATACTTCCTGAATAGCATTCGTCGACTAGTGATCGAACCTTTAGTCGATTGACGTGATATTTGCTAATTGAATTTCCATTCTGTCGGAATTTGTTCTCAAGTTGATTTTGGTTATCTTCTGGTTTTTCAAAAACTGGTTGTGCAACTCTAAACTTGACTTCACCATCCTTGGATACAAAATAAACCTTTATTATCGGTATGTTTTCATTAAAACGTAACATATCAACTAAACTATTTTCTATGTCTTCCACAATGTGTCTGTACACTCTCGACTTTGGATTGTTCATATCATCATTCCATTCGAAATCATCCAATTTAATAACCCCTTCTAATGCCCGAGGAACAAGTTTATAGATCGTCTCATCTGTTGTCGGCCACGGTGGAAACGTTGATGTTGCAGGTGGTGGACTTGGAGGAGGATTTTTCACGTATTCTTGACTTCCTGCCGTTTTTACGTCACTGAACTGACGATAACTAGTTTTGTCGACGTTGACAAGTGGCTGCGTGGGTTCTTGCGTGAGAATAATGCCAGCTAAAAGTATCGTGTAAATTAAGTTTTCATTTTTCAATTATTTTTTTAAAGAAAGCAACAAACGAAGAAAACCCACTTTTTGCCAATATCACGACTATAGCGATAATGGCTATGACGAAAAAGGTACAGCCGTAACATAGTGCCCTTCTCCAGTACGATCCCGTGGACCTCTTGTCCTTTGTGACGTAGAGTTTTTCTCCTCTGCAATGAAAACAAAAAATGAAAAACAATTAGTTATTGTTTGTCAATGCGTATAGTTTCAAGTATATCTAAAGCATTTTATACAGCTGTGCAATGTATTTAATGTCAGCCTCTAATTTGCATTATCAAAAGCTCCCTCAGTTTTGTTAAACCGATTTAAACCTGACGAACCAAGAGTGCTTTATTAATATTATTTCTTAATATGGTGATTTGGTGTTAAATGGTTCATCCATGCCATCAGTGTCGACAGCCGCCTCCACAAGGGGTTTATGGGGTGACGGTATTTCAAAAAACCACTGTATTTATGCCAACAATCGACACTCTCCCACACGATGCAATAACTTGTGTTTTCTCTAGTCCTATGGTCTAAAATGATCTTGACTATTATATATGTATAATATGTATTCCAAGTGTAGGTACCAGTAAACTCGCAGTCACGGGGTAAATCTAAGATCTAAGGATGCCCCGAATGTATATAAATATTAAGTAGTGAAGCAAGTTAGTGCGAACAATTCCCGGACCACATAGAGCCTGCAACCATGTTCATCCAGGCCTTTTGATGATTATGTGTATACGTATTATACTCCATTCGAGTATAAGGCACACCAGCTGTCGCATGAAAGCACCCGTGGCATTGATGAGTATACCTGAGGGCGTTTAGCCAATGGGAATAGTCGACCAGTCCGGCGGTCGGGTCTCTTAGGCTGAGTCCCTCGCGGCCGACGCCCGGGCCCAAATCAAATCGAACTCCTGCCACGGTCGTTTCAACTTCTGTGACGGGGCTTCTGCTTATTTCGGCCGGGGATCATTATATACCAACAACAACACCAGTGTGTGAGAGACAACCAAATACTTGAGCGGCTCTTGCACGCGCGCGTCATTCATAATTACACATATGCATATGGTTTATGCGTGACAAGACGAAGCAAAAACAAAAAGCTCTTTTTTTTTTCAGCCTACATCGCGACACCCAAGTACATCATGTAAGTCTCATGTAAAAAATATCGTATCGGCTGACGGGAGAAAATATCAATGGCCATTGAGAGAAACGAAAAACATACAAACGATGATGATTATAGTGAAATATAAATATACGATGCAAGTTCGCCAAATTCTGACTGTGGAAGAAAAAAAAATCGGGGCTCACCTGATGCACTTTTTGTGCTCGTTGACGGGCACGAAGTACTCCTCGTAAGGATCGACCGGCACTTCGCAGGCCTCCTGGTTCTTCATTTGCATGTTGTTCTGGCCGGCGTACGGTTTCATCGACACCAGCTCGAGATTCACAGCCTCGATCGGCTCCTTCTTGTCGCCAACGTCTAAAATTCACGAACAAAAAAAAGAAGCTGTGCAACGTCCCCGTACTAACCCTCGCCACACGTGCAAAATATCCGCGCATACCATTACTGCCATTGGATGCGCTCTTGGTCGTCGACGTCGTCGTGGTGTTGAGGTAGCCGGGGTCGGTATTATTGGACCTGTGTCCATTCTGCTTGGCAGCATCGGCGTCATCTCCGGGCAGTTCGATCCTCGTCTCGTGTTTCGCGCGTCCATTGGCGGCCCCGGCGAACGGCGAGCCGGGCTTCGAACCCGCGCCCTGTCCGTGGCCGGCGCTCGCCGTCGAGTTGCTCGAGTTCCCGCAAGAGGTCGTCTCCTCGTCGTTGCTGAAGCCCGGATTGTCCGTACCACCGTCCCCGTCGTCCGACATGGCTCCGCGGACTATTGCGCGTGTGTCACCCGTGTCGATGCAATATCCTCTCCTCGGCCTCTTATCCTCCTCTTCTACTCTGTTTTACTACTCCCTGGTGTAGATCCTTTGCCGGCTGGTTCGTTCATGCGGTGCACTTGTGCTCTGAAACAAAAGTAAGAAAAAAAAAAAAAAAATCATTAGACATACCGAAACGATGACGTTTGTTGTTTTCATATGTACAATCATAACACCAGATGCCGGCGCACGATTTTACGGTTGTTTGTACCTCCACATTCGCTACGTACGCAGCCCTGACTTTGCAGCTTTTTTTTTTTTTTTTTTTTTTTTATTCTTTACGTGTGTAATACTTACAAAAAAAATAATACTACTATTTTCTTTTGTTTATTTAGGGCGTTTAGAGCGGGGATGTACAGACGGAGAAAATACTTTTTTTTTTTTTTTTTTTTTACCTTTGCCGCGCGAGACGAAAACCCAATGACCACAGCTTATGTATAGCTTATGTGTAATTTTCACGGTCACGGCGGCAAACAAATTGCATCTGGTTGATTATTGTACGGTCGATCTCGAGAAACGGCCTCGCAGCCGCCAAACGAAAGAAGCGCTCGCAAATCATCGGATTTGCAAGTAGTACACGCATAGACCGAGAGTCCCATATATTTATAATTCCGCGCGCGCGTCCAGGGAGTCCTTGCATACACGGTATGCGAAATATATATGTACGAGCACACTCGGGGGAGAGAAGAAGGCTTGCAAGGAGGAGGAGGAGAAGCGTGACGTCATCGGCGAAGAAGCTCGGCGAGTGAGGGGATCCTCTTCCCGGGGAAGCGAAAGTACTGGACCTTTGGCACGGTATACCTATAACAAACGTGCACGCACGTTGGCAACTTGTTCTTCGTATATCCTCTCTTTGGCTTCCTTCGAATCCCATGGTACTTATAGGTACATTATTTACTGTGCACCCGCGCGCTCCCCATACAGCTCCTTCATCTTTTTTGTTTTCTCCCAACCTGACCGGTAGTCCTTACATCCTCCATGCTCGTTTCGATAAAAAGAGACCTAGAGGAAGATCCACGAGGGTGGACTGATGGAACACGGAGAGAATTCACCAAGAGAAGGATCTACCGCTATCTATATCAACTCGTCCATCAGGGAGTGGATATATTGTGCATAAAATGGCACTTGTGCAATCAGCAGTGTCGTTAGGTGAGCAGTATTGTTCACAAGGAGCCGAAGTATCATAAAAGTCCTCGATTTGTCATTCCAAGAAGGAGGAAAAAAAAAAAAAAAAAAAATGAGCCAGCCGCAGTCGTTGGTAGGGATCATTTTCGAGATTCGCAGTATCGCAGAAGCCGCGATTGGCGAGGGGGCACGTGTATTAGCTCCGGGAACCCATAAAATCCTTCCTCTATATACGTGACGTGTACTTTTGTGTTGGTCGGGGTTTGCCGCCACGGCACTGATTTTGACGACTCTCGGTTGAGGAGAGAGGGAGCGAACTCCAGAAAAAAAGAGAGTACAAAAAAAAAAACCACCAACCAAAGAATAAAACAAAAAAAAAAGAAGAAGAAGAAGAAGCCCCTTGGTTTCGTTCGTTTCTCTCCGGCTTATTCCCTCCTCTTCCGAAAGACCCTGGAACGACCTGTAGCTCTGCACGTGTGCAGTAGGTATATTATATACATCCTGCACCTATACACGTTCAATGTATAGCTGCGCACGTACAGGAGGTATACGAGAGCGAAAGCTCCATTTGCTCCTCCTCCGCGTTGTACTTCTGCCTTCTCATCGTGCCCAGGGGGCAAGCACAGCCAGCACGAATATAAGGACCCGAGATACGCGATCATGTGTGCAGGCGTGTAAACACACACACGCGTACACCCACTCGGTGAAAGAGGGAGGGAGGAAGGAAGAAAGAAAGAGAGAGAAACCAAAAGTGGTTGACCCTGAGTCCGCGCTCGCGGCGGTTGCAGGTATATGTGTATATAGCAGCCAAGCGTATAATATACGTTATACACAAAGGGTGGCCCCCGCGAGAGGCAGGAGAGTATAGTCTCTCTCCCACACACGCGGAACGTATCGACGATTTTCCTCCTGACGTAATTTCCGTGCTCTTCTTCCCCATTAGCGCTGATTCAGATCGGCTGCCAAAGCAAGAAAGACGGGGTCTTTATATATATATATACGAATTACGCCCCGTCCCAATCATATCGCGTATGTGTCCCGCGTGCGCTAGGTATACAGCGCGCACACGATGGGGCCTGCCCCTCACGGGCCCGGACTTTTTCGCGGGAGCAGGTTTGCCTGGCCTCGTGTATCCTATACTATACTCGCAGGAATGGGTATACGGTGCGTATATACGAGCCCATACGGATTTGCTCCGCGGGTTTACGTACGGTTTTCCTCGCGAATCTGCAGCCATTGGCAATCGCCGAGCGCGTAAATATTATTCACCGAGTATATGCGTACCGGTCCAATGGCTACTTTTGCATTCCAAGCTTTTATACCTATAGATCACACGACTCGATTTTCGATTCTTTTTTCGTACACGCGAAAATCGGTAATAGATCGGTTGCGTGTCACGTGCATAATATGTGTGGCACTTGCACGGTTTCACGGGTGCATGCCTATTATATGAGACATGCAATAGTATACGACATAGCCGTCGAGGGTATACCTACGCACCGATTTTCTCGTGCCGAGCGAGACGCTTTTAAGCGGAAGACCGAAGAAGACGGAGAGAAAAGGAGCCTCTCGCTGTTATTTTTTGCCCGTTCCCACGGCTGACGCTCTTATATATAGCACTACACTACAGAGAGAGAGTATATATAGCACTACACTACAGAGAGAGAGAGAGAGAGGGCGTGCGCGCATCCGCGCCAGCGTTTTGTGTTTTCATTGAGTCAGCATCACCGAGCGCGCAGCCTATATTATAATATATTATACCCATCGGGGTCTCTTAGGCCAGTATTTTTGGCACGCGTGCCTCAGGTGCCATGCACATGGGCGTGTCGTGGCGTGACAGAGCCAAGCAGGGCTTCTTGCACCTGAACGCGGGGAAACTTTGAAAGGCTACGCATTCCAAAAGTCCTCCCTTCCGTACGGCGCGACAACACCATTTTTGAGGCAACTATTTCGTAGCGACGATTTCACGCTTCGTCGGTGTATTTAGCCGAGACGATGATAATGACAAAGATCGCGAGGACTCGATTAATCCGCGAGCCCCGGCTAATTGGAGACGGGGTTGCGCCAGTTTGGCTGTACGTTATTTCGCGTAACTAGTTATTATTTTCTGGTGCAATTAATCATATATTGGGAAACAGAGCGAGGGTGCAATGGATGATTTGCGCACTTGTCGAGTTTTCGGTTTCCCTCATTTCGCTCTTACCGATTTCATGCGCGTAGGTATACGCAAGATGTTTGGATGTCCGTTGTGTACCCCACTCGATTGGTTATGGCAATTTTCCCTCCGTTCAGTGTATAATTGCGCTTCTCATTGCCGCGCGCGTTTACCTCATCACCTTTCGGCAATCAATTCCGGCTCGACTCTCGGTGCTTTCGATTCGATCATGCAGATCGTTTCAATGCTCTCATTGCAGGTATCCTGCGTATATCTTTGATGGATTTTTGCAAAATCGTAGAAAGTCCGCGTTGAAGCTTTTCTCGCTCTTGATATCGTTCGCGGGCAATGGAGTATCTCCGATTTCCTCGTGCACTTAGAGCGCAATGAGGAAAAAAAAACGCGACTCTCGAGATCGATTTGATAAATTAATATACGAGTGTCGAATTTTATTGATTGGGGGCACATTAATATATAATATCTAGTAAAGTGAGTACTGGTGAATGGAAAATCTCGGGATTTCTTTTCCGTATTTCCCGCGACGAACGCTTCAAAAATTGCAAACTTCATCCCTCCTGCAAATCACGAGGCTCATGCGTGCATGCCTCGATTGAACAATTTTATCAAAGTACGCTCTATGATGTATAAATGGATACTCAATCGATAGGTCACACATCAGAAAATGGAATTCGAGAAACTCTCGCTTTTCAGCTCGGTAGCATATTGTACGACGTGAATCTAACCAAGTGGAGTCCCAACGTTGATTGCCCATTGTACGACACAAATGGCTTATATATACGTGCATAACGTCCAAGCCCAACCTTTAACAGACGAGAGTCCAACGATTCATTTGTACCGTTTCCCTTAATTAACTCGAATTGTTCTATCCGATAAGCTATACATATCAGAGCACCTATTGTTGGAAACGGTCAAATAAAGAAATTGAATGAGAAATAAGTAAAACGGTGTCCCAAAATGATTTGCCAGACGAGGCAACTCTAATGTATCGATGGGGCATACAATGTGCCGAGTGCTACTACAAGATTTTTGAAAATAAACCAAATGTCCCATAAAGGACCCAAGGATAGGAGCCAAAGGTTCAGCGAAAGCGAGAGCGGAAAATACAAACGTATATGTGTACGGAGGAAACTTTCCGCTGACGGGCGAGCGTGACGTACACACACGCGCATAAGTCCGATTGAGATCCGGCCGAACCAGTTTTCAGCAAATGCCCTATCGGGAAAGCTCCATTTCCTTCTTTTTCGTTTGTTTTTTCCTCCCCGCGCTCGGTCGGCGCGCCGGAATTTCGCCAAACCAAACAAACAAGCGCGCGCCGCGTTTTCTAAATACCATGGCGTTTCGAGGCGATGCACTCGCGCATTAGCGATAATGGCCCCCCCGCGTGTCACTCCATATTAAGTGTTAATAAATATTAATCCACGCGCGGATGTATATTTAATGTTGATAAACACGTGTCTCTTGGAATTTAGCACCGAGAACCGGAGCTGTATATTTACCTATAACTTGCGCGCGAGTGATATCATTAGAAATGAGTTTCTCTCAATTATGCTTAACGACGCTCTTACTTGTCAAACATATATATGCGTACAGGCACTTTGGATCAAAATGTTTTAATGGATCGCGGGTTGATTTGATTGAAAGTTGCCCAAAGCATATAGCGG